TGATAATTATCTCAGTTCTGGTTTTGGAAGATGATTCCAGCAGAGGTCTTTATCATTTAGTTTACTTAATGAGATGAGCCTTTCTGTCTGGGGCAGTCACGTTTCTGTGGAGGCTCTGCTGGAATCCAAGGGAACTGTAGGTTTAGGAAAGTTTAGGATTTCTGGGTTTTCATTCGTAGTTCAATGTCCCTTTAAATCTCTTATCTTGGTGTTCTCAGCAATGAAGAAGGAAGAGCCATTAAATAAATTGAGAGCCAATCAACTTTGTATTGATAGCTTCTGGGGACAGCTGCTGTGTTAACTGACTGGATTAGCACAGTTCTGGTTGTGGCTGAATAGATTTACTGAAGAGGAACAGCCCACTCTGAGTGTGAATGGCACCAACCAATAGGCTTGTAACCTGAAGGAGATACAAAGGGGAAGGAAGAAAAGAGTTTCCCCTAGGTTTCTTTGGAAGAGCGCCAGGCTTTGCTATCACCTTGGGATGTCATCTCCTGCTTCCAGTGCAGAGGCTTCAGCCTTCCAGCTCAGATTTGTCAGCCTTCCAGTGTAGATATTTGGGTTTCCAACAGTGCTCTTCAGTGAGCTCCACGTCTTCAAATTTTAACTGGATGTTTTGGCTATCTAGCATCCAGATAGCCATTTTGCATTCTTCCACACCTCCCTCCGGAAGTGTAAGCCTCTTTGTACAATATACTATATCATACTGTATTATATGATATTACTGTATTAAATGTTACTGGAGTCCTGACTGATACACTTTCAGACAGGTACTCTCTAAGCAATTAGTATGCCTGTACGCAGATGAGCAGGGATCTGACCCAAAGTGACTGATATGCAAACGAAGTTCTAGCTTCATTCTGAAGGCCCAAATGAAGTCAGGTTTTTGTTATGTAGCAAAAATAGTTTTTACGACCCTGACTGCCTCAGAGGAAAGCATAAATCCTGCTTTTATGGAGTTACAGGTTCAAGGCCCAGGGGTTTGTCTTCAGTTCCTATGGAGGTTTCTGACTGTGGCAGAAGAGATTTGTCTGCATCTTCTACTGAGGCACCATAGTCCCTTCCAGCTCTGCCTGGCACTGGCCCTGCAGGAGGCGCCCTGTCTTACTCTTTGTTCATGTTTCCCTTCTTCTCAGTGAACACAGCTCAAGGCTGTCCTAAGGACCTTCCTGTTGCACTCAGTTCTGGAAGCAATAGCTCCTTTGGGATGCTGAAGATTTCTCAGCTTAGCATCATTGAGTTGAAGCGTGAAGTTTCTAGAGACATTTCCTTAGTTATTCTTGCATCTTTACAAGAGTGTATCTTGAAAATTCAATCATTCACATGGCTCTGGCTGGTGGGACTGAAGATGAAATGGGAAATATTAATTTTCTTTCTCTCCTCTCTCTCATTCTGTGATATTTGATGGTAAGCGAGGTAATGAGGGAATGAGGTATCTGATAGTAAGTCCTGAAATATGGGAATGTCTGATAAATTCGATTTAAGGTTTGGGTCTTTGTCATAATTCAGGGCCAATACAAAATGAAATTTTCTCTCAATCCTCTATCATAACTTTCTCAGTACATGGATGTAGTTTGGAAAAAAATGTTCAGTTTAGTTTACCAGTTATCTCAAAATACATAGGCATCTGGGACACCAAGGCATAATTACTCAGGGTTCCTTGACTTCTGAAGAGGAAAAAGGGAAAGAAAATGATTGCTTCAAGACAAAAAGAGTCATAAAGAAAAAGCAGAAAGATAAGCAGAACTGAGGAAGAGAGAGGGGGTAGGAAGAGGTAAGCAGTGTATCAACATTAAAAGCTTGATCTAGAATGCTTTGGAACTGATAACTTTTTGCTTTTTAAATTTGAATTTGGTTAATTTGATTTTGGTTACTTGGAGCAAAAAAGATTCCTGTCTTGTGTTTTGAAGAAGGTTAATGTGAACCAATACATCATCATTTTACTAATATAAGTTGGGTACATAAGGTTTTGTCTGAATTTAGATACTTCAGAGAGTAAAAGGGGGGTACCGTTATCTTGAGGAAACATGCTAGGGGGAGACTTTTTCCTGGGTATTTTAGTGGAAACAAGGGATTCTGGATCTGAAAAGCTGCCTCGATGTGTGACTGCTACATTACAAACAGCATCCAGGTGCATTTGCTCTGTGACTGTCCTTCAAGCCTCTCACCCTTCCAGTCCTTTTCACGCAATACAGCCAGTAAACAAAAGCTCACAGGAAGCAAAAATTTATTGGAAAGGTAGCAATTAAACTCTTTGAAATTACTGAAACTATGAGTATACTGTATTGTGTAGGGCTGTTCCTTAAAGTCTTGTACGCAATTGTTCCTATTTAATGAGAAAATGTAGGTGGCAGTACACTTTATGGGTATTTTCCTTCAAGGTCTTTTGTTCTTTAAATTCTTGGCAGTGTGGGGCAGGGGTTGAATGTTTGATATGCGTTAGCTATGACAAATACTGAGATAAGTCAATGTATGAAGAGCAAAGATTTATTTTGGGTCACAATTTTGAAGGTTTCAGCCATGATTGGCTGGCTATGTCGCTTTGGGCCTGTTGTGAAGCAGCACACCGTAGGGGTGTCTGGTCGAGCAAGACCATTCACCACATGGCCGGGAGTGGAAGACAAAAAGAGGAAGGGGCATCGCACTGTGCCCCTGATGGGCACTGCCTCGGACCACTCAAGTCTCCCACTAGACCTCATTACCTCCCAATAGCACCGTGTTCAGGGGTCATTTAAGATTCAAATTATAGCAATATACATAGGTTAAAAATAACAACAACAATAAAAAACAAAACAAAACAAAACAAAAAAACCTTTGTGTTTGTGACTGTCTTCCTTGTTGCTGGAGCACAATACCCAATACCTACAATTTAGAGGAGAGATTTTGGCTCACATTTTAGAAGGTGTAGTCCTTGCTTGGTTGGCTGGCTCTAAGGTAGGATGGCATGGCAGAGGGGCACAGTGAAGGAGAGCTCTTTACAGTATGGTGGATAGGAGGCAGAGACCTAAGAAAGGAGGTAGAACTTTCCAGGCCCTGCCCCCAAAGTCTTACCTCCTAATAGCAGGCCAGCTGTAAGTCCTCATAAGCCAAAAATCTTCCAAAGGTACCCACCTTTGAGTACATCAAGGCATATCCAGATATGAACTATACATAGCCATATAAAATCATATATATATGTATATATATATCCAGATATAAGCCATTTATATCTCTAGATATAAAGCATTTATATATCCAGATAAATGCCATAACAGCAATACAACACAAAACAATACTTTGGCTGAATATTTTGATTTTTATTACTTTTATCTCCTACAGAAGCTATAGCAGTTATGACAACAGTAATTAGTCTCTCAGTTCTCTAATTCTGTTGAATAAGTTTGGGAGCAGCAGCAGACTAAAGGAGAGTAAACTGACCTGTTTTTTTGATGATAGCAGCAATAGTCAAGACTATTATTGAGAATTCAGATTAAAGGGAAGAGATTTTGTGATACTCATTCTATTTCTTCAGTTGCTGACCTGAAACCCACTTTTACCCTGTAAAATTTCTCCCATGGCACAAGGAACCAAGTATCTATCTGCAGCAGTCACTGTGTGGGGAGAGATGGTGATGGTCGTCTAAAATATTTACAACAGCCTCCACATTCATTCTCAGGACAAAAATCAGGTCAGAAAAATCTATTGAATAAGACATAAAGATGACTAGTTTTATCTTCTAATTAAAATATTAATTTTCTTTGAAAAGTGGAGCTGAATTCTCAATTCAGATGAAATTTCTAGGTGATACAGAGAACTTAAATACATTCAAATAATCTAGTAACTATTCTGTGAAATTGGCAAGTGAAGGTGACTCATTTTAAAAAATTTAACCAATCAATTCATAGGAAATGAAAGCGACAACTAGGAATTTGAATTTTTGAATTACATTGAAAAATTCCAAATATGTCTACCATAAGGGAAGCTAAGAAAGAGCTAAAAGGGGGCACACATATCACAAGGAGATTTAATAAGGAGGTCTAGTGTCAGGGTTAGAATAATTAGAAATGGGCCTTGAGGGTTCAGTGTTTTTTTTTTTTTTTCCCCCAGAGGAAGGAAAAGGACATTTCAAAAATAATCAAAAACTTAGGGAAGGTAAGTTTGGGACAGGTTTCAGGAATGTGGCTGGTGTGGACTGTAAGGTAAAACAGGAAGTCAGAAAAGCAACGCTGTAGAGAAAAATCACACCATTATTCTCCTTAATATCACTGCTAAACTCTCTCTACACACACACACACACACACACACACACACACACACACACACAAACAAAAACAAACAAACAAACAAAAAAACCACAAATTATACTCCAGGCAAATACTCTGGAGTTGGTGGGTCACCATCTGATAGTCTTTACATTACTAAATTTATCTTTGTACTTAAATTCATGTTAAAAATTGTGACTTTCAGGGTCATGAAAATTTTTACTGTCTCACTTCATGTTTGCAATCCTTCACAGTTGTGGATAGCAGAACACTACAACATTCTGACATCATCACTAAGGTGGTGATAACCAGGAATCTGAAATTTTGTAGGGTTTTTCTTTCGTTTGTCTTTGACGTAGAATTCTTTGGAGGATTCTGAGCAAAGGAATAATTTCAGAAGGAGATATCTAGCAGCAATGTATGGGGGAAACTAGAGACGTGACAGATAACACCAGAATTGAATCCTAAGGTTTATAAGTTTCCTAGTTGAAATACACTTTAAAATTTCTCCCCCTCCCGCCAGTGTGGACATGGATCCACTTTAACAATTTCTCCCCCTTCCGCCAGTGTGCACGTGGAAGCCTTTCAAATGAGAGCAGACAGTGGAAGTTTTTTCTTTCCTTTTCAGAATCTACCCTTCAATAGAATGATCTGTGTGGTCTGGAATGGAGCAACCCAGGAAACTTCGCATCCAAATGCTAAGATGGCTTCAGCACCTAGAAATTCTGTATATTGATAATAATGACAGTATTACCAATCTGATGTCTAATACTTTTACTTCCCAGCAGCATAATACCACTTTGGTCAGGTTGAACCACTGCACAGTTTTGCAGTTCATTCATAAAAGTAATGGAAACAATTGGAAAGACATGATGGACATGCAATGATGAAAAATGGTACAACTGCTCAATCCTTCCCCGTAAGTATGAAATGTCCTTGGTTCATCTCCACACTGTGTATTTATTGGAAGCCCTTACAGTAGGGATTTTCTTTCCTTTTTTTTTTAGCACCAAATAGACACAGTGACTAACAATAAATAATTCTGAAAACTCACTGAAATATTTACATATCAGAAATTTTCTAAACTGTTTTTTCCACATCCCTCACTTAAGTATGCTTCATGAGTAAGCTATAACATGAGATTGAGTTCTATTTCCAGTTTTGTCACTGATGTGACATAATAGTTTTCTAATATTTTTTGTATGTTACTTTATAATTTCAAAGTATTTTTATATACAGTGACTCATTTATCATAATGACTTACTCATTCTCATGGAGTAATGTCCCTCAAAGCCACGGAAAACAAGCAGGCATGTGAGCTCTTACATCAGACTGCATGTATTCAAATCTCAATTACAACTGCTAGCTGTGTGGTCTTGGACAAGTAACATAACATAGCTGTGCTTTAATTTTCTTGTGTATAAAATGGAACCTACTGTATAGGGTTTTAGAAGGGAGTCAATGAGATTGTCTATGAAAGCATTAAGCATAGTACCTACAACACAGTAAGAGCTAGATACATGTTATGAACAAATTATTACATAGCAATCTCATTGGATTTTAATTGTGCTTTATGAATATAATGAGCAGCAGTTTTGAGTGGTGTGTATAGAAAAGTGAAGGGGTTTTTCATGATTTCCATGGGGTGAAGAATTTTATTTCTCCCAGGAGGTATGAATGGGACCCAGTGAACAGTAAACTCTATTTATGGCTAGAGTTTAGTGTGGAGAAGACTTTCATGATAAACTCCACGATAGTACTCTTAAACCTTCTTTCTCATTGCATTTCCAGATCCTAACATGTACCAGACACACTAGAAATTTTTGTTAAATGGATAAATATGTGATAATGTTTGAGTGGCTATATTAATTTTTTAGCTTAAGTAAATTCTGGGAATCAAACATATAAATAATAATCCTTAAAAGGAGGTTTAGCAATGGTGAATCCATGTGATTATGGATCCTTTGAGAAATGTTAATAAATATTTAGTGGGGACACAAATCTTATGGTGGATGTGACTCTTCTTCCATTTTAAAATCTAAAATACAATGTTTAAAAATTTAGAAATGGAGTTCCACTTTCAGATAATTCTTGCCAAATAATTCAAAGTGTTTTCAGAGAGAAACAGATGTAATTTTACTCATCATCATTTGAATTCCTAAACATGTTTCATATTAAAAGGAACATTTAAACATTCTTGAAATTTTTGAAGTAATTTGACTCCAAATTCATATATCTAAGAAGTATGAAGAGTCAATTCTGATTCAATATTTAGAAATTATAGTGCCAATTGATACAATAGTAAGCATGTGAAATTATTGGAAGGAAAATGCATTTCTTTATCCTATTTAATTATTTATTCAACAAGTACTCATTGAGTACCTGTATCATGCTGGGTAACCAACATGGTGGTCACAGCCCCCATCTTTTTTTTTTTTTTTTTTTTTTTTTGTAGTGGTACCAGGGGTTGAACTCACAACCTTGTACTTGCCAGGCAGGCGCTTATGCCACTGAGCTAAATTCCCAGCCACAACCCCTTTTGTCTCTTAGAGCTTGTAGCCTAGAGAGGGGTAAGAGCAATAAGACTGTTTCATGTTTTGGAATATCTTTCTCTGTACTGGCCTCCATGAATCTTCAAAACCTTGATCTCTATTTTATAATGTTGTCTAATGCTGGTCTTAAAGGCTGTGTGTAAGCACAACTATCTAAAAGATGAATTTATCAGGCATTATTCACACATTCACAATATCTATAGATGTTTAAAGTAATGTACATAAAATATCCTATATTTTGGAGTCCTATATGTACAGCTGAATAAACTGAAATGAGATAAGCTCACAGTTGGGAGCTGCATTTGTAAATTGGTATAATCCATCTCTAGCAAAGATAATCTTCATAGATAACCTCAGATCCTTAAAAAGCCCCTGAATGATACACTTTGCATTTCGATCTCTGCATTGTCTTAAAAGAGAGTGGTAGTGTAGATAACTAGAGAATTCCCTATTGATTACATGACCGAGGAAGCACAAAAGTCTGTTTTTCTTTCCAAAGTCAATTGCAATTTAAACTCATTATCTCCCTGCAGATGTTCTATTCCATATGGCAACAGAATCACAATGTAAATGCAACAATGAAGAGGTCCAGGAATTCTATTACTGAGCTATGCTTTGCATATCTGCCTTTAAAATCATATCAGAAAAAAGTTTAGACCAATCTGTTCCACTGTCCACCAGCTTAATCAAGAGAAAGAACTAAAATTCACCAAAATCCTTGATGAGCAGTCACATTGATTTTTCCTCCTTTTAATACCTAATTTGTTTATTATATTCAGGATTGAGTTTCAAAAAGGAGCAGTCTTTTTTCTTTAATATGACTTAGGGTATGTCAGTGGCTCTAATGTGATTGTTAACAATAAAGAGCACAAGCACAGATTATAATTTTTCCTTTTGATTTTTGTGAAACATAAGAGAACCAGAAATGGTTTCTTTAAGTTTAGGATGGTTATTTTTGATTAAAAATTTAGGGGAAGGTTTACATTTTAACACACTCAATTTTAGTCATTTGTATAGAAGACCATTCTGACATATAATCTTAGATTCCATAGGTATGACAGATTGCCCTTTCACTTTGACAAACAACCTGGCAAACACTGACCAGCACTAAACATTATATAGCAGAAGCATAAAAATACAAAACTTCCAGAAAGCAGAAAGTTAACATATCTGCTCATTTGATAGTTGCTTCTGTAATACTATGATATCAATACTGATGTGAAACCATGTAAGTTCATACTAACTGAACATTTAACAGCTAAACAAACATACTTACCTTAAGCTCCAAATGAACACAATGTACTAAAATGTGTCGATGACCATTTTGTTACAAGGGTGCAATGATTTCCTTTGATGAGAATCTTTGTGGCACTGCCTGAATATGTCTAATATCTCTTTGATAAATAACTAAAATATATGTTTTATTAAAGTTTTCTTATAAAAATGAGAACTATTAAACTGAGTAATACTCATTGGTCTCCATTTATGCCCTATGACATGCTTGTCTCTTTTATAAACCTATTTTACATAACATTCAGGGTCCTCACTGCCCCTACCCACAACTCCACTTCTCTAGTAAAATGTGATTATGTCTCAAGGGCGGGAACTGTCATCACAGTAAGACACTGATTCACTCCCCAGTTCCCCTGCTGTTTGTTGCCTGTAAGTGGTACACTAAGAGTGAAAACTTAGTATTGATAACCGTATCACACGACAGGGCATAGTCACTCTGAGTAGCTCATTGGTTTTTTTAAATTCTCAAAAAGGGTCTCAACTCTGTTTCATAAATTTCCATTCTGGGGCAGACTATCTGAAACATCAAATTACACAGCTGCAAATCAATAGTTGCATTTGAGAAAGGGAATTTTCAAATATGTGCCTCTGTTTAGTTTGCTTAATTGGTCAATTTTTTTTTCTCAAATACATTTTTGTGCTTTAGGTGTTCAAGTACCCACTTATGATTCTTTCTTATTAGTTCCATAAATGAAAATCAGATTAAGTGCCTAAAATTTACTGTAAGTAAAAAATTATTTTTTCTATACATGGCTCTAACAGATCTTTCCAAAGATATTTTCTTCTCTATTTACTTATAAGAATATGTAAAATAAAGTAAGTGCCTTTTCCTTCTAGAGGAAAACATCTGTTATTCACAAAATTGATTCCACTGGCTTGCATATGAGTATTTTTGAAATTAAATATATATATGTGTTTTATAGAGCTCAAAACTTTGAAATGTCAAATAAAAATCTAACGACAGCATGTCAGTGTATATAGAAAGAGTTTAGAGTTCTCCATAGTGTATCAATGAAAAATACAAAACTTAAGAAAAATTGAGAGAAGGGAGAATATATATATATATATGTATATATGATCAGTTCGTGAAGATAGGTCCTTTGCTACTATTCTCTTACCAGAGGCATAACTTTTGGTAAGACTTGTAAGTTATAACAAATGTACTCCAATAATATATGTTTTGGGGGAATAAATATATATTATATTCTGTTAGGGTTTAAAGTAATAGATGTAAGCAATTTTTAAATTAAAAAATACAGCACTAAGTTCCCACCCTTGCTTCTAATAAACTACATGTTGAGCTGAAAGTGTCCCATTTTGTTAATGCATAAAAATTCATGAAAACAGAAAATAAGAAGCCAACTGTTTCTAGAACCCGAAAAGAGTACATGGATGCTGAATTTTCGATGCACTGGAATTCCAATTCAGGCGACTCAGCAACAGGGGCGGTGGAAGAGGTCAGAGGGAGGGCAATGGCAGGTTTCTCCCAGGGGCAGCAACCATGGACTGATGCCTCTTGAACTTAACCTAAGGAGGGGTTTGTTATTCTCTGGAAAAGCCACAGACAAAAGACTGACTTAAGCCTGGCCCCGGTGATCTTTGAAAGTCACAGACTTTGTTCTTCTTGTCCTGTTTCAGGCTGCAGACTTGGAAGGTTCTCCCTCTACCCACTGGGAATTCCCACTGCAGTGGGTGGAAGGTCTGTGTGTGAGACGAGCGCATGAGCAGGGGTGCGGGCCCAGAAAAAGAGGTGTCGCGTTGCCTTGGTAAAGAACTTATACACCATGTGTTCACAGCTTCTTGACAGGTATAATTATTGGTTCTGTCTTTTTCTATGTGCTGGGATTCTGAGCACGTTTTCAAATTTGTGACTATCGGATGTTTGATCAAGTAGCTCTTCCTCAAGGGCCTGAAAAGAGGAAGAACAGTGAAATCGGTGATTAGTATTCATTTATCAAGTACAATATGCTAAAAATATCAACAGAGCATGTTCTATGTGAGAATAGCAAAGATTATTTCGGGCACTACCATTCATGCATAATCTTTCACATATAAAAAAATCATCTGATGTTTATAAAGGGAGTGATTATCAAACAAAGCTAGGAAAGCCATAGTTATTCCCCAAAATAAAATAAAAAAACACCAGTTTGGAAATATTTCAAATAGATCATTTCTTTTCACCATTTCCAGATGCCTTCTCTTCATGAAAGCAAAACCCAATGTTATAATTCTCAGGACACCTAGTAATGTTTTATTTCAGTGAATGCCTAAACCCACACACAAAAATAAGTTTTAACAAAATTGTTCTGTTTGTCCGCACTAACCCTCCAGCTACTTGATCATACAAGAAGAAGCATGATCTCAATAGGTCTATCTTTATAAAATAAATTAAATAAAAACGTAGTGACTTTTCAACAAAGAAAGCACCAGATAGAACAGACTCATTGCGGATTTCTACCAAAAACTTAAGGAAGAAATTATAAAAATTCTCTACTACCTCCTTATGAAGATAAAAGCAGGGGAATTATTCTGAACTCATTCTATATGGCCAGAGTTGCTCTACAAACAACCAGATAAATGCAAGACAAGAAATCCACAGACCAACATGTTCCACAAAGATAAGTAAGAATTCTCAACAAAATATTAACAAATCCAATTCAATAAAGTATGAGAAGCTTAATCACCTCAATGCCCATCCGGAAGGGATAGATTAACTGTTGTATAAACTATGTGTGAAACTCTACATAATTATTTCAAATGTAGATCTCAACTTGCTAGTATAAATCACATTGTTTATTTATCCAGTTTTAATAATCGAGTTCATATTTGGTATATGAAGCAACAGTTCATATAAAACAGCTTCTCTCTCTTTTCCTATCTCAATTTTACACTGCACTGGCAGAAAGGATAATGACGCAAACAATTCAATTAGTCTCTAAGAGCAGGGAAAGAAAATGAGCAAGAAAATGAATTTCTCCCCTAGCTGCCTCAACTCCGGTGAGACACTGTGGCACTTATTCCAAGACAATAATTTTTCAAAGTTTTACTTTAATTGACAATAATTACATGTATTTATGGGGCACAGTGTGTTTTGATATATGTTTATACTGTGAGATCATTAAATAGGATAATTAACAAATCCATAGCTACACATACTTACATGTTTTTGTGTGGTGAGAATATTGAAAACCTACTCTGTAGCAATTTTGAAATATATAAAGCATCACTACCTATTATAGTCATCATTCTGTAAACAGATCACTAGAGTTGATTCCTCTTGCCTGAGTGAAATTTTGTTCCCTTTGATGAGCTGTAATCATCCGCTCCTTCTCCAGTCTCTGATAACCACCATTCTACTCTCTACTTCTTTGTCTTGCTTGGACTTTTTTTGAGATCGGGTCTCACCACATAATAGTTCAGGCTGTGCTTAGCTCACTATGTAGCCCAGGCTGGCCTTGAACTCACGACCCTCCCACCTGTGCCTCCAGGGATTACAGGTTTGTGCCCCCACGCCTGACTTTTGTGAGTTCAACTTGTTCAGATTCCTCATATAAATGAGAACACGAAGCATTTTTCTTTCTGTTCTGCCTTATTATTTTACACTGCACACTGTCTTCTGGATTCATTTTCTTTTCATGTGAAAGAATTTCCTCCTTTTAGGGAAAAATACTATTCTCTTGAGTATAAATATACCACGTGTCCTTTACTTATTCACCTGGTGACAGACACCTATGTTAGCTTCTGTAAATAATACTTCAGTACTTATGAAAGTGCACATGTTTATGTGGCATGTTATTTCCAATACCTGGAATTGGGATTGAATTCAAAATTATCTGAGGAACCTCCATATTGTTTTTCATAATGGCTGCATTGGTTAACATTTCCAATAGTGCGCAAATATCCTCTTTACACTCTTTCCAACATTTCCTATTTTTGTCTTTAACAGATAGTCTATGAGGTATGAATTGATAGATCTTGATATGATTTTGATTTCATTTCCCCAATAATTAGTCATAAGAATTTTTTTTTCTTGAATCTGTTAGATATTTGTCTTGTTTTGAAAAAAAAAAGTTTGTTTAGTTCTTTGGTCATTTTTTCACTCAGTTGTTTTGTGCTATTGAATTGTTTGAGTTCTTTACATGTTTTGGACATTGGCTCCCATCAGATATATGGATTGCAAATATTTTCTTTAAATCCATGCCACTTCATTTTATATTTTCATTACAATGTAGATGCTTTTAAGTTTGATGAAATCCACTTGTTCATTTTTACATTTGTTCTCTGTGCTGTTGAGGATTTGTCTAAGAAATCTCTGCTTTCTTTCCTGAGCTTGTAGATACCAAGTTTTCCCTCACAGCATTGACTAAAGACGCTCACTCTTCTAGATTGTGTGTTCTTTACACTTTTGTTGAAAATTAATTGATTCTAGATGAGTATTAATTTCTGAGTTCTCTATCCCATACCACTGTTGATGTCTGTTTTTATGCAACTCTTATAGATTTTGATTATCATAGCTGTGTAAGAGATTTTGAGGTCAAGTAGTATGACATTTCCAGCTTTATTCTTTTGCTCAAGGTTTCCTAATTATTCAAAATCATGTGGCTCCACATAAATTTTAGCATTTTTTTTCTATTTTCATGAAAGATGATATTGGAATATAAGGGTTGTATTGAATCCTACAGAACTGCTAAAGAAATAAATTTAGAGTAACTTTCTATTATACCAGTAGAAAACAAATAACAGCTATGATGATAAAAGTCTTAAGAATGGGGTAATGTTTTGTAGGTTATTGTGAGGGTGACTGAAGTCCCATAATACATCTATGAGATTCCAATATGAGGCATTCACCCGTACATGTAAGCAACTCCTCTGTTCCTTTAAAGAGACAATGTGTCAGAGTGGTGAACAGCAAGAGGCTATGGTGCCTGTGTTTCTGGATCTGCATGCTGGCCCTGTCACCTGCTAACTGTGAAATTCTGCAAACATTTTAAGAACTGCATGTCTCAATTTTCTAGTTTAAAAAAAAGAATAAAAATAATATCTAATCTTCATAAGACTATCAGGAAGATTAAGTACTTAGAACAGTTCTTGGCACACTTTAATTATGTAAAAAGCATTAGTCAGCTATGAGATTATTCTATGTCCAGCTTTCTGTCTGGGGACTCTGTATGCCTTAGATTAACTTTGTTGGAGTCACCCTGCCCTCTGGGACCTGGTTCCACCAATGACTGGGCAGTGGTTTCAGTAAGGACTCCCTTGATCCTATCATCAGAATTACAGCTATGCTAGGGATAATAGAAAACAGAATAGCTTCACAGCAGACAAAAGAAATGGGGTTCTGAAGAGCAGGAGGAGGCAGGGGAGCCACTGACAAATGTCAGCTGCTTTGTATATCTGTAACCGTTTAACCTGGTTTTGAATGTAGCAAATTCTTCTCCCTACTTGCAGCAATAGAGGTCAGGACATTTACTGTCTTGCTTTTTTGGGGTTATTGATGTTTAATCAGTAATAAGCCTCCCTTTTGTTTTTATATATTGGGAATCAGAGTGACACATGAATGTACACATGAAATCACATTTTAAAACTGAGATGCTGATACATGTAATACTGTTTCTCAAAATAAGTGGATGGAATAACATGAAAAAATCCATGCTTGTATTCTCTGTTTAGATTTCTGTCATGTAATTGTATAGTACTCATATTTTTTATATTTTGGAAAATACACTCTATTCTTAATTATCAAACTTAGAAATCAGGGGAAAAGACAGCTTTTTTAAACTTGAAGAAATTTCTTTTCTTTTTTTGTACCAGGGATCAAACTCATGATCTCAAGCTTGGCAGGCAGGAGCTTGTACCACTGAGCTAAATCTCCAGCCCTTGAAGAAATTTAAAAGTAAGCATAAAACACAAATTCTCAACATATGACTTGCATTCAACCTATTTCTACATTTTATCCCAATTTACCATTGGTTGTTACTCATAATTTATGTTATCTCAGATAAAATATGTTATTTCTGATTTTGATATTTTAAAGTATTGCTTTCACTTGATGAAAAAAAAAGATAATATTTGGCAAGTATTTTGCTTCAAGTGGCTTTGGTTGACAGGTCAAATTTAAAACCCAATTTAAGGCCTGTTGCAATTTAAGTAGTTCTAATAAACTACTTAATAAACATTAAAAAAAAACCCTGTCATAGGAGATAGCAACTATAACAAATCCCCCTCAAAAATGAATTAATTAAAAATTAAATATGAGCTAATGCAGGTCTGTTTAACAGAATTCACCAAAAAATCCATGGATAAAATGACATGGTGTATTTTATTTGTACTTGAAATGGTCACTGCACTTGCATTTCAAAGGGTCATGATCGTGTGTATTCTAAATACTGTCCTGATAGGCCTAATTACAAATTTCATATTCATATGAATAGAATTTTACCATGGCCTGTGCAAAAAAAAAAGAACAAAGGAAAACACAATTTATAGAAGTCTTTTGATAAAAATGTTAAGTCTAAGGAAATAATAGGAAATTTTGAGGTGATTTAATGAATACTGATGGAGCAGAGAAATGAAATGGAATATATGGCCCAGAAAATATTTCTGACTGAATCATAAACTTTCAAATATGATTACATAAGCGCACACTGAAAGTTCTTAGTAAAACCTCAGAAATCTGAAGGACAAAATATGTATTTTGAAACACTTCTGAACAATTCTACTCAGGATCAGTATTTTAGATTAATTAAGGGAACTGTTTTAAATCTAATGATCAAAATGGAACAATAGTAATATTGTTAGAAAGTGTGCTGGTATGTGATGAAAATAATGGATTGTCATTATTATCCAAAAGGCCTCTGATAAGATTCTGAAAGCATGAATAGTTAACAGAAGAGAAGGCTTATGAACAAATGAGTTGTCTGTGTCCGCTCAGAGCACTCCTTCTCGACTACACCATCCTCATCTGAGTCACAGGATCAGTTGCTCAGACTGACATTAATCTTCTCAGAAGACATTAACCTTCTAGTTGGTCCTTGGTTCCACTCGTACCCAGCAATAACCCACTCTTTCAGTAGCTACAATGAACTACTCATTCATAAATCAGATCTTGCTATTCTTTTGCCTAAGAATGTTTCGTATGTTCCACTGCAATAAAACCTAATTTCCTTTCAGGGATTGTAAAGCTACCTGAGACCTGATCCATCACCTATCTCATTGTCCTTCTATTTCTTTTCCTATTCATTAGTCTTTAGCTATCCAGATTTTCTTTCTTTCCTTCAAACAACATGTATCTCATGCACTACTGCATTGCTATTTCCTGCTCTTACTCTTTGTGTGGCTTCTCCTTACCATTCAGTTTAACATTCTTTAAATATTACTTTCTTTGAGTGGTCTTGCCTGACAACTCAGTCTAAAGTCACAAGCTAGCTAGTCTCTATCTGCACTGCTATTTTAATTCTGCAAACAACTGCTCTCAGGAAGGTATCTGGTACTTACATTTCTGTTTCACTAATTATCTCCTCAAACAGTCTGTAGGCATCATGACAGCAAGCACTTTGCTTTGCTCCTGCCATTTCTGCAGCTCAGTGAATAGTGGCTGGCTCATAACAGTGCCAACTAAATATGTGTTGTTCAATAAATAAACTTTTTAATTGGAACATAATTTCAGATAAAGATAAAAATATAGCACATAGAATAAAACTAACTGGTTACGAAAGACAGAACATTGAATCTCTAGGAGTGCCAGAAGAGTCATCCCACCCCCTTTGTTTTCACTTCCAACGTGGCCTCTTTTTTCCACCAGTGTCACAAAACATGGAAAGTTTCACGATGTATTTAATGGTTCTGGTTGCGCTCATAGAAAGATGATACGAATGACTTAAAAATCATCATCACACATTACTATTTTGCCAAAAAGCAACTGGGCCTCATCTCAAATACACACTTGCAGACATCACAGTGTAAAATTACTTAATGATATGAACTCTCTTTTCCACAGAATAGCAAGGAAAGTTTATATCACTTTAGAGCATCTGATTTTGGCAGAGTATACCTGGTAGAATAAAAAAAAAATACTTCTGTGCTACCTGTAAGTTTGGTTATGAGGAATCCACTGACACTATTGCAGCTTCAGATTGTTTTTCCAAGAACACAGGATTTTACTGGTGGCTACCTTGAAAGATTATTCAGAGGATTTGGGAAAATGTCTTGAAGGCCTAGCTCATGCTATAGGCACTTCAAATATGGTGCTTTTTACTATTAATAGTTTTTATTCAATTTTCTTGGAAACACAAAGCAAATCTTGATTTAGTATTCTTTGTCACACAGTAGAATTTAGAAGATGGATGGAGGGAATTTAAGACATATTTTAAGTGAGTAGCTAAAGGAACCTCAAGGTCTCTTAGATTATAAACATTGGTAGGTCTCTACTGCATTCTTTCAGAGAGAGGAGAGTTTTAATAAATTGTATCTTAGAATTCTAAGAGAGATTTGTGCAAGTCTAGCACTATAAGGTTAAGCAGTTTGTGCACTGTGTAAAGGCCACAGGCCAATTCATGATTGCTGATAAGGATCCAGTTCACACTGTGGACTGTGTGGACACATGTGGATATGGGTAAATATTAAGGCTGTATTTTCCCAATTTGCATAAGGGCATCTGAGAATGCATTTTCTTCTTTCAAAGTACATTACTTTCCAAAATATTTTATATTTGTGGATACTATAGCTGCATGAGACACAAATATATTATTCTGTTAACTTGGTGTAATGGTGCATGCCTGTAATCCCAGAACATGGGATGCTAAGGCAGGAGGATCACCAAGAGTTTGAGGCCAGCCTGGGCTACACAGTTAGTTCAAGGCTGGCCTGAATTACAAGCAAGATCCCCCCAATATACACACACACCAAAAGAAAGTATTATCCTGTTTACATTTTTTTAGATCATGGCCTTTTGTTGATTGATTTAATTTGTGCATTAAATATAGTAATTTTGTTTCATGTAAGAAATTATATTTTTAAAAATAGCAAACTTGTATTTATACAAAGGACTCTCCTTATGCAGAATAAGGATCCTCACCTACGACATGTGGTTTTGTTGTGTTTGTTGCTGTTGTTGCTGTTGCTGCTGCTGAATAAGCAATTGCTGCTGCTGTCGACGCCGGGCTGTCCGTAGCTTTTCAAAGCGAGCCTCCATTTCTTCCAGGACTTTTGGGGTGTATCTGACCACCAGCTTGACACTGTCCTTAGCAGCCTTGAGTAATTCCACAGCTCTCTCATGGTGTTCTCCTTCCACACTCTGAAAAGACAAAACCATTTCTTGAAGCAGACAGCTTCAATGTTCTCTTTCCCGAGAGACAAATCTGAAATTAGTACCCTATTAAACATCCAAAGTTTGAAAGCCCAGGAATATAAGGCATATGGGATAAATACTGTCACCATTATTGTTTATTATACTCTGGATGAACTATATGCTGCATTGAGGTATGAAATGGTTTAGATGGGGGTTCAAATTAGGATGAACAACAAGGAATGAGAATGCCAAACACTTTGAATTTCAAATTTTTTTCTGGATCAGTGTTGTAAGCTGCTGAACTAGTTAGTGATCATTCACATGTGTGAAGCCAAAAGCAAAAGTGCCCAAACGGGAGTGCCCCAAGGGCTTGGAGAGCCTGAGAAATACCTTGAGGGCATGAAGAGCTGGCAGTAAACAGGTGTTCCAGCCCTGAGAACTCAGGGCGCAGGAAGCCAGCTAGTTAAGCAAAGAGGCCTGGTATGACTTCACTTGACCCCATTTTTGTCTGTAGCTTTATTTTCTTCATCCTCTCATTGTTCTCCAACTCCCTCCCCCAGGAACTTAGCTCTTGAGGACACTGACAGACGAATAAATGTATGAGTCAAAAGATTTGGGGGGGAAACCCCAAAATATTAATATGGGTGGAATTTTCCTATCAGATATTAAAATTTACTAAGAACCTACAATGATTAAAATAGTTCTTACTGGTAATGAGACAGTAGAGCAAAATTGAATCCAGAAAGAGATCATATATAAAATTTTAATATATGACAGATCTAGAACTTAGACAAAAGAGGAAGATTGTTAACACATGATGCTGGAACCAAAAATAATTAAATGATACAAAATAATGGAGACCCCCGTCTCATATTCAAAGCTAAATATCATGTGTTTATTAAAAATTTTAATGTAAAATAAAAATATAAAGTAAAACTAAAATGAATGCTTATCATGTTGCAATGGAAAAGAAATTCTTAAATAAAAATTCTGAGGTGGGAATCACAAAATGAGATTTCTTAATTTTATGTTCCCATATTATAAATGCTATAAAGGGGCAAATAATGTCAGAAAAATTCTTGAAATTTATGAGCTAACTTATATTTTTCATACAGTTCTTATACATTAACAAAGATCTAACCAAAATGAACAAATGAATAGCTCAAATCATAGGTAAATAACAATAAAAATACAAATGGTCCATAGGAAGTATTCAATCTCCCTAATATTCAAAGAAATATAGATCAGTACAAACATTCCATATATATATGGTGTAGGGAAGTAAGACTCTCAGAGATTGCTAATAAAATGGCATTATGTACTGAATAAATGATTTATAATCAATAAATTTCATAGAAATTAAGAACATCACATATGCATGCACACACATAAGTATGACATAGCATAAAGAAAAAAAATGGGTCAGTTCTTGTGTTTTTGAGTTTCAAAAATAGTCTTTAATGCTATATAATGGTTGGTAAAACTATCTTTACTCCAACTAATTGGAAGCTATTTCTTATCCAACCCTTTACAAATTCTTTTGGTTGGGATGAGTGAGAAAGCAAAAGAGACCAAAGCTATAATCAGACTTCACGGATCCTACCCTCCTACCCCCCTCTCAGCAGATTTCTAAGGCAGATGGCATGACTTAATAAGGATCTTCATTTTGGCTTTCTTTTATTATTTTTAAATTTTCTATCCTGGGGATTGAACCCAGGCAGGGCCCTTGTACTGAGCTACATCTATTGCCCTTTTTCTTTTGAGCCAGGTCTTGCTAAGTTGTTAAGTTGCTCAGACTGTTCTTGAACGTTCCATCCTTTTCCATCTTGAACTCAGCCTCCCAGAGGGCTGCAGTCACAGGTGTGCACGGTTACGTCAGGACATTCATAAAGCCTTTTTGTCTTGAGTAAAATCCAGAGAAGAAATGATGGTGTGATGTGATAGTTAGGAACTGAGATAGGTTTAAAGATTATCAGAACATCAGAAGTACCCTGCTGGTTCAGATTACATTTTTCTATCCCATTCAGAAAGGTCTCACAATGAATATTAAATTGAGCTACAGGAAAATTAAACAGGCTATATATCAAGTCTACTTCTTCAATTATAACAAGCTTTATAATTTCTGCTATTATACAGATTTACAAATTTAAGGAATCATTTACAACTCTATCACTTGCTTCAGAAAGATAGATGTGGACTGAGGGAAAAACCTGAAATTAGCAATGAGACTGTCTTTGGTGCTTATAAGAACAACACGTCATCTGTTTGAATCTAAGCAGATAAGAAGAGTTTAAGAAATAGCCACGGTGAGCCCTGAAGACAATTTATATAACCAACCCACTAAGTCAGGACTTAATACAAAGCAGGGGTTATAAATAGCTTTAGGTAGAGTTAATTTTTGTCTTTGGTTGAAGCTTAGGAAAATGTGCTGGTTCGTTGATTGATTCATTCTTTTAAATATTCATTCAACCACTGACATAATTACTCAGAAGACTTTTATTAAGTATTTACTAGTCACATTCTACTAAATTCCTCGGAAGAACATGAAAGACAGGAAAACTTTTGACAGCAGTGGGCACTGTAAACCCTGTTTTGCAAGCATACAACCAAGTACGCTTGTAAATTGTGTCCCAAGATGATTTGTTACCGGGTGTTTTCTTTTTAAGAAAAAAACTTGGTGATTCGGTTGTCCATGCCCTTCTCTGAATTTCTAATATTAAACTTAGATGTTTCAATAACATTTGTTCTCTAAGCCAGCTGATTGGTCTCTGGATTTCTTTTTGCCTTTTTTTGTTTTCATTTAATAGGGCTGGAGATTCTAGGCCAGACCTTGAGAGGCCCATTGTCCCCGTTAGGACACTGAGTCTGTAGTTTAGAGCAGCCACAGGAGGGCTGTGGCAGCGAGGCAGGAGCTCTGGAGGACAGAGAGGAGGGCTGGGAGAAAGGTTGTCAGGCCCATCGTCAGCCCTGTGGAACTGTTAAGGTTGTCCTCTCCTGCCCTGCTTTTCCACACAGCACTTAAGAACAACAACAACAACAACAAAAAAAAAAAAAAAAAAAAAACAAGAAAGATGACCTGGTTGATCTTCAAACCAGGATCTTAGTCTTGATGCTTTGTCTCTGGCTTAGACAGTGACTCAGATGTTCTTTCTTTCAGGCTCACTGTAAGTAATGTCTCTTGGTTTGAATCCATCTTTTCTGTCTTCCCCATCAGGGTACAGAATCATTCATTTTGGAAATCTGGGCTGCATCCTACATTTTTGTTTCTATTACTGGAAATAATTTTTAAAAATAAGTTACATAATTAACCAATGTACTGGAAACTAAGAGTGGCATTTTAGAATGAGATTTGGAGTAATACAGTGGGCCCATGACTTACAAACTCAGTTTGTATCTGGTTGTATCTCAAGTTTGTTGTAAGTCAAGACTATTTTTCCCATAAGAAATAATGGAAATAAACATAATGCATTTTGAACCTCCCAAAACACCCTTTAACTGAATTTTCATAACAAAAAAGGACTGCATAATGATGTAGTCAGGGCAAGGGAAGAGATTTAATATAGGACACATAATCTATCCATTTTTTTTTTTTATAATATTCACCCAAGAAGTCAAATGTAGATGAGTACAAGAGATCTATCCACACACTAGAGACCCAAAGAATCCAGCTAAGGGTCTAGATTCCATGCCAATGTCCCCATGAATCTAGCGGAAGGCTGAGAGCCCATGACAATGTGTCATGCAAGTATGTATCAAGGATCTGTGAAGGCCCAGAGGCCAGTGGTGCAAGTTAGAAAGTGTGTGCCGTGGAGTGTGCCCGATCTGTGCCACCAGGCTGACAGATCTGAACAGGAGCTATGAAGCAATGCTCCAGTAAAGATCAGGGCTCCCCTAAAGAGAACCGCAGCCATCCTCAGTGACAGCAAGGACCTGAGTTCCTCCGATGATGAGGACAATTGAGTTCATATCTGGAAAACCAGTGTGACAATCTTCTCCAGCAGAATCCACAATATACCACTTTCTCCTCCAGTTCTTGTCTTACGCTGCTGAAACGGTCCTCAAGCAGGTCTTCCGTACTCCAGAACCATGCTGACTCAGTTCATCTGGGTGTTACAAGCTATCAGTGGTTAACTGACCACATGTGTGCAATTTACCAGAAACACCAATAATTTTCCTATTTACCAAAAAATCTAAAATGTGCCTAGCTCACCAGAAACAATTTCATACCACAGTCACCATTCAAATTAATATCTTTGCAAGAATGGAGGATGAAATAGAGGGTGGTTACTGCTTGGAAGGAGAGTCCTCTTTCATAGGAACATCAGAAATCTGGCTCTCTAGTGTCCTATCTCTCCTTGGGAAAGTCTGTAGCCCACCAGGACCTGCTTCTGGCTCACTAGGTCTCAACTTTTTCAGAATTTAAAACTGGTCTAGGTTGTCTGTTTCTGTCATTTCTTTAACATTGTTCGTAGTATGACATGACATTGTCATTAAGCAAGTGAATGCAATGATTGGCTTTTTCTCTGCATGGGTCTTCTCTGCAAATCTTTGTAGCTCTGTCCATTTCTTCAGAATTTTATTTCAGAAGAAATTTGCTGCACTGATTGTTGATACTTCTGCTCTTCAGAAAGCTCCTCAGCTGACATTCTTTGTTGCTTAGCCAGAAGTTCTTTAAGTTCCTCTGTAGATAGTTCCTCTGAGTGTGGCTTCACCAGTTCCTCAGCATCACTGCTGTCTACCTACAAGCCTGTGGACTCTGTTACAGTGATAAAGTCATCAGCCACAGGCTCAATTGAAGGTTCACAGCCTTCTCTCTACTAGACAATTTTAGGCCATTCTTTCTTCCATGCAGCTCTCAGTGTTCTTACAGAAACATTGGCCCAAGATTTCTCAACTAACTACACACAGGAAAGGATGTTGTACTGTCCCTTTCAGAATCCTTTAAGAATTAAATCTGTATCTGAGACCATCTGGAAGCACTTCAAGAACAGTTCTCTGGTGTGCAG